ATATATTTTCCATTCTTCCTTGGATAGAACAAAGTACTACTTGTGTGAAAAAGACTTAGATCTGTTTTTCAGGAAAGCTGAAATTTCAAAAAATTTCAAGAAATTTGAAAAATTTAAACATCGTGTCCTACATTTTGTTGATTGTATTGAAAATGGAGATCATTGCAAAGGGTTGCATATTATTGTTTTCATTAAAACAAAACTGTAATTATCGAAAATCGGATCATTGGTTCAGACGTTACCGGTAAAGTAATTTCCCCCGTGATAGTGCTGCGATCTATTGAAGTTTCCTACAAGTATTTTTCGGTGCATTTAGCCTTAAGGTCGCATCAACTACTAGGTCATTAGCGACCACTATTGCTTGTAACGGTATGGTAACTGTGAGGATGACACGATAATGATAGGGGGTGAAAGCACGAACACAATATAACCATGCCCGAGGCGGGACTCGATCCTGTGATCCTCCGGCATTTGCTTTTTTGTTAAGCAAATTGTACAGTTCTTTAGTTGACTGCTGCGAGGAAATTTGTATTGATGTACAGACTAACACAGTTTTTTAGCTCTCAAAAAACGATCGCAAGCAATCTTGAGTCGTCTTGAAGAGGAACTCTTTAAGCTTTCTTCCTCCCGTGTGTTAATCGTCTATTTTTATCAGCTCTTCTGCTGCCAGAAGAGATTTTTTCTGTAACATTATGACAAATCTTAATTGAAGCCGTCGGCTTCCGCGGCCGAAGTCATGCAAATGATCTTTGCTGTCCGGGAGACGCCGCGTCCATCATTTGCAGTCTCCTTCATTGATCAGCCATCTTTCTCTTTTAACTAGATCTACGCGCCGGTACCCCCATTCCGGTATATCGGTGAGGTTTAGGTCCCCTTCTCACGGCTCCACAGCAGAGCGCTTCTGAACGCATAAACGAAGCATTGTTTTAAATGGTCTTCCCACATGCGGCGAGTTCGCGCTGCTGTAAAGTTCGGCGGCAGACCCTCGCCACCAGCAGCGTGGGATGGCGTTCACGCCAACGCTAGCAGAACAAAGCTTTAAATGGTGGACTTCGCACTGCGTCGCCGGGTGCGGCGTTATTCTTGCGGCGCTATTCCCAGTGTTCGTCGTTGGCGAAACCTCCCTGCTGTACCCACCTACTTCCGCGGCCGTGGCGGGGCGGGGTGCCCTGTCGCTTATCGGAAGGGGCCCTTACCTGTGCAGGTAAACCGGATCGTGTGTGCCAGTCGCTGCAGGCACTGCCAAACTGCACAGGCGACCGGAGAAGAATCGAAATTCCATTCTTTCTACCTGCACAGGCGCGTACACCTGTGCGCGCGCGTATGTGTCACTCCGGCACGCCTGTACTGTTTTTAAAAGGAAATAGAACAATTTTGCGTGCAAAAAAATAGTTTTGGGATATTTTATTTTTCATAAATCTCCATAATTTTCTCTTTAATTGGTGTTTGAATTATGATGTTATTTTTACAAGTGCTTTTTGTATTATTTATATTGAACTCGTTTCATTGAGCGTAGTTGCTGGTTCCAATACTTTTAGATACTGGTACATAATGCAGCACACACTAAAATATTCAGGCGTGCAAAAAGGAAATTGAAAACTTTGTTGTAAAGGTAACCAAATTTTAAAGCGTGTCAAAAGGAAGTAGTTTTGAAAAATGATTATTGTGATGAGGCAAGTTATCAAACTTTCGTGATCTGTGGGTTGCATCTTTACAGCCCGTTTTCCGAAAGTTGATATTTTTTGTACTAAATTGACTTTTTTCAACTTAAATTTGTAGTAGAAAACTTCAAGAGGTATTATTGAAGAGAAATTATCTTACGTTGCTGAAACAATTTTGTTCTGATTACCTTAGTACTACCCATTCTGCAGAACTTTACTGGAGAACGTAAAAAATTGCATTATGAGAAAATATTTGTAGCTACAAAAATAGTAAACATTTTTCAAAGCCGTTCTTTCAGTGTCGTTGGGTTTAACATATGTGCAACTACTAACTTCAACAGATTCTGAAAATTACTCAAACATTTAACATTGCCATGTTAGGGTATTCCATATTCCCTTAGGGCTAAATGCACCGAAAAATACTTGTAGGAGTTTCAATAGATCGCAGCACTATCACAGGGGAATTTACTTTACTGATAACGTCTAAACCAATGGTCCGATTTTCGATCTGTAAACGGCATTTGACGCCTTTATAAAATAGAATTTACGCTAGGTTCCCTTTTTCCAAAAATCTAGCAGAAATTCAAATTTGAAATTAGTTCTCAAACTTCCGCAAAAAATTTTAAAAAAATGTGGGCTTAAAGCGCGATGGCGACATGCTTCCTGAATCCAACGCCGTGACAATCATGCAAATAGCGTCCTAAAGTGAAATTTAGGAAAACACTTCGCCCCCCCCCCCTTCTCGCCCTTTCGTCCTGTCGCGTCACCTACCCGATTGTATCAGCACGGCCAGGTCAGGCCAGTCGGCGTGCGGTCAGCCCCGGCAGAGGCGGCGGGACTTACAGGATACTCAAGCAAGACAGTGTTTATGCTTTCGTCACTTTGCATCTCAATCTATTTTTCCACAGATACCAAACTAGAGATGCTATACTACTATTACAGACCGAGGTAAACGGTCTGTAATAGTAGTACATAACTATCTTTTTCACATATTTCCGTCTTCCTTCGAATATCATCTTCAAATTGTTTGAGGCACTACTCAAAACATCGAATACGCGGAGTATACGCACGAGCTCTTTTATTCTACAACTCGGTGTTTTGATCTCCAAACGACGTTTACCTGCTTTAAAGATTTCATCTGGTCAATCTCTCTTCCCAAGTAAAATAGCCGAAGCTAATTTCAAAGATGTTTTCCTACTTTCGGACAAATTTAAAAAAGTCCATGATCTTGGCTGTCCGAGTGACGTCGCAGGCTGTGTTGTCGACGTGTTGCCGACGTTTTGTCCATTTTGTCGTGGTCTTCCTCAGGGTTGGTATGCCCATGGCATAAATACCAAGATTCCCCCCCCCCCTGTATCTTTGAATAGTTCGATTTGAATATTATCTACAGCCGGGGACTTCCCATTTTTCAGTGGTTTTGTCGCCCAATGCATTTCTTCTATCTCTGGTTCTTTATCGTAATCATCTATATTTATCCACTACTCTTTTTTAAAGTTCTTCTCATAACTCTTTTTCGCGTATTCTTTTGTTGTATTTATTTTGTCATTCTCGTTCTTAACATTCGCCATTGTTGGTTTAGAATACAATTCTATAAAAATTCTGTCAGCCTTCATGCAGCACGTCTGTATTTTGCAAATGTACATTCCCGCCTGACATATGGTATAAAATTGTGGGGAAACTCATCATGTAGTACTCAGACCTTGAGATTCCAAAAGAAAATTATTCGAATAATGAAAATTGCCATCCGCGTTAGCCTTACAAGCCTCTTTTCATTGAGCTAGGAATCTTATCACTGCCTTGCCTATATATTTACGAGTCTGTAATATATATCAAAAGTGACTTACTTAACTGTGGGAACTTATTTTCATGCAATATTGATATTTATATTTACAACACACGCTGGAAAAATCACGTTCATCAAGTGGCAGTATCAACAGCTCACTATCAGAAATCCACATACAATAATGTGCATTACTTCACAACGCACTGCCAGATGACATTAAACAATTGAAGTTGGTTCACAAATTTACGTTAAAAGTAAAATCTTTTCTGCTGCATAACTATTTCTATACAATTAGAGACTATGCTGATTATCAAAAAGAAAAACAATGTATATTTCAACAAAACAGTGATATATAATGAATTAGTTCACATTTCCATTATTTTTTAATTAAAAAAACAAGCTTGTAACAAATAATGTACTTCAGCTTCCGGGTCAATGACCCCTATCTTGATCAGGCTTTTGCCCAGTTTTCCTGATCCATTAAGCAAATGCTGAGATGGTCCCTTGTTTTGCTTCTGGACGTAAATGTAGCTTCACTACGCACACATTTTGTTGAACTCTCCTTTTACTTGTAATGGTAAGAGTAGAGGTAAGGGTGAGTTGCTATTTTGTTAGCAGAAAACTCATACTTGCAATTTGTGTACCGACGCAAATAAGTTTTCTATAACCCAGAAACAAAAATGGCTATTTTTCAAATATTGTTAATCTTGTGATTTTTAAAATTTATTTTTAATTATTTATGTTAAATCTTTACTCATCTTTCAACTATTTATAGTTAAAATGATGGTAAGGGATTCTGGAACCCAAGAAAACTTGCCCAAATAATATTTTCCCCCCTACATCACATAGTTTTTACTGTTTGTTTTTTTTCACTGAATAAATCTAATCTATTAACTGTTGCAAATTCATGAAACTATATGCCCACTATTTTCTTGAATACAGAAAAGTGTGGTTATGAAAATGGTTTAAGGCTAATTGTCATTAAAACCTTTGAAATGTGAAAATTAGCAAATTCATATCTTTTGCTGAAGATTTTTTCATGAATTGACTGAAGATACAAGTTGCAAAATTATATTCTCATGTACCCTTATATAATATGACAAGTTGACCTGAGATCCAAAAAATGTGTAGAGAAAAAAACTGAAGCAATTTGTGAGAATGTTTTTGAAAATTATGAACAAGTTACAGGTAAATCAGGGTAACGTGAATGCACGAATTCGGGCCACACTATCTTCTCATTGGCTTTCACTAGACTACAGCTGAACACACTGAATGTCATTCCTCCTTCCCAGTCGGGCTAACTTGACAAACAGTAGAACAGACAGGAGGCCTGCAGATAAGTGAGCCACAGCATGCAGACTGGACTTGCCACATGAGCTGACCTAGTGTAAAGTATCTCGAAAAAAAAATGGTGTTTAAATTTACAATGCCTTAAGCTGTGACAATCTGATAGCATATCTCTTAGGGAAAAAAATCCATTGTGAAATAAATAAGGACTTCAAGTTGTTCAGACATTTCTGAAATTCGACTTATTATATATATATGAGAAAAATTATTTATTAAAATGTTAAAATATACTTGTTAACTTTAATTTTGTTCATTTAACCATTTTTCTTTTTCACAATTACAAAAAAAATATGAGCCAGTGAAAATTTTAAAAAAGCAGCTTTAAAGGACTTTCTAGAGTCAATTCATAAATTTCCTAGCTAAAATAACATAACATTTGTTATGAAACTGAACAATTTTCCACTCTACTATATAACAGTAAGAAGTAATGGTATAAAGGCTGATAATCAAAATATTGGTCAAAAATATGAAGGGAAGTGAACATGTATTGCATGTGTGTGTGATCAGTTCAGTAATTAACGGTACAAATTTCTGACATCTGCTGTCCCTTTTAATCGGTGAGTTTAACTTTGAACACAAGCCTGTTCTTCATAAAAGAGAGAGGTAGAATGAGAAATTGTGAATTTTCTCATACAATGCAGACGCATTTTTCTTCCTATGGACGTGATTTTGTGTCTTCTAAATGTTTGTTTGAACTCTTGACAGTGATTCCACCATACAAATAAAATTCACTGATGAATCTATGTACCAGTGTTATCGCACAAAAGGCTTTTATTGAAATTAAAACATTTCTTAAAGCATCATTCCTACACTAATAGATTTTGTAATTTTTTTGGTCCTTTAATGCAACCCTGATAACAATTTACAACTGACAAGTTAGTAATGGAAACATTTGTTTAGAAACAACTAGACAAGGTCAGTGTCAACCCCCTGGGGTGAATGATATTTTTAAATGTTAAAAAATTATACTAAAAATATTTAAAACATTGATGAAAACAATAATGAATATTTTTTTGTATATAAAACTTGGAAATATCTAATAGAAATTACAAATTCACACCTCTTTTGCACCATTACTCCCATTAAAGGAAAAAAAAAAAATTATTAGCAAATGAATAAGCATTTTTATTAAGTTGTGTGCTTTACATTATAGGAAAACTGAAGGGGGCTTGAAGTAAACCATTACTTTAAAAGGACTCAATGCAAGAAAAGGGAAACCCCTAAGATGTACATTATTTCATTGAATTCTGATGTACTTTTTAGGTCAATATTGTACCAATTATTAAAAAGAAAAGAAATGAAGAACACCAAACACATACCTGATCATAACATTTAGACTGACACATCGAACAACTTCCCCATTTCAGTATTTGGTACATCACAGGCCAAGTCACAATTAAAAATTCTGTCCAGGTACCATTAGCAATGCATACTTGGAAAAGAATAATACAAAATGTTCATGTATATATTTAAGTATTATAACTTTTAGCTTAAAATTGAACTGAAATTATTCACAAGCAACATCAACCTGTTGTGAGATACCTGAAATCGAGACAATTTATGCATAAGGATACCAAGAAAACTTGGGATGTATGATACAAGGATCAGGTAAATTCTTTGGTCATGCAAGTAAATTGTGATTTAAAACAAAAAACTCCAAGGCAAATATTTTACTTATACCAACTTTCATCAAATTTGCACAGAAAATATTGGTAGAGCTACATAATCTTTAATACTTTTGCCAAATAAACATCAGAACTTGCTAGTGATACATGTTCAGCTTGTAATCAAAACAAAATATAAATAGCAACCACAAGGTCATCCTAATAACCATTTAACAGTTCACTTAAATACATATTGAAATACATTTTCAGAATAAAATATCTTTACTAGAACATAAGTTATCGTCACAGAAAAACAACCCTTGATTATTATTTGTAATAACATTTGTGATATAACCTCCTCTATCCATTAATCTGAAGCACTTCTCTCTCATGGCCTGTACAAATAGAATAAACCATATGATTGTAGAGTATCCAGGTTTGCCCATCGCAAACAAATGAGTTCAGGTATAAATTCATTCACAATAAGAAATGTTAATTGCCCTTGCCACATGCAAACTGCTCCAAATTATGAATTCTGTAAGTCAACACTATACTAAACTTCATTCAGAGTTGCTGACCATTACAATTTTACAGATATATATATATATATACTGGGCATGCCTTTTACATTTCACCTCCAACTTATAATACGTGCTCTTCTCATTCGCTCATTCATACATTCCTGAGCAACATACACAAAGAAAAACTAGCTTTAGACATATACAAACTGAACAGCAACATTACAGTGGATAGGCCGATGATTATGCAAAAGTCTTCGGTCAAAATGAAAATTACTACAACATTGAAGTCATTCTGAAAACATGGATGTTCATTCACATGTAGTAGCAGTTATTGCGTAGTTGATTTATAGAGCATATTGCCAGGCAGAACAGGCAATACTTTAGGAGTTCTATAATGAGAATACTTGGTAACATGGTGAATTTGTATCACGTGTCTCCAAAAAGCTATACCCCATGACAGTCTCCAGTCCAAACCTGTCAGCGAAGTGTATTCTCTTTTTTTTATTAGTTCTGTGCTACTAAGGCATCTAATAATTGATAACTTTGATGTAATTATTCCTTGTCAATCATTTCTTTATTTGCCTGAATTATGTACAAGTACAGCACCACTTAGGGTCAACAATTTTATGCCATCAGAAGTGGACTGGGTTGTGTCGTCGGGTGCAGTACTCACAAAACCCAAAACAAGGCGCTTCACAATTGGCTGCAATAGATGACTATTTGCTTTATTAGTCGTGGTCTTCTTCATCGCTGTGCAAATAGGCATACTTATTGGATCCAGCAAAATTCTGCAGAGAAGGAATAAGTTTATAATTTTTTTCATTTAGGAAAAAAACACCCACAATTCATTGGGTATTTACGTTGACTTACCGGGGCCTCTTGTTCACAGTACTTGGGCATACGTGTTTCATCTTTGACTTCATGGCTTTCTCTGAATGAATCAGTACAAATACATTAAGAAAATAAAATTCATTAACACCCCCCCCCCAAAAAAAAACACAATCTTGATTAAAAAATTATACTCACGATTCAAGAGTCTGTGAATCTCTTGATTTGGGTCTTTCCATATCAGTTCTAGAGCTTTGCTCAGGAACACCCACGCTGCTGCTACTGCTACGTCCTCGAACATCTGAAGGCCCAGAACGAGGTCTACCTGTTCGACCACGTTCTTCACGAGGTCCCAAGTTATCATGCTCATCTACGAAAAGAATGAATTGTAATGCACAGTCCTTTCAAGGACTATCTCGATATTTTAGTGAACTTACAATTACTATGTTGTGATGTACTCCGTTCATAATGGCTGTCACCAGACCTACTGCCACCTTCAGGTGATTCAGGTCGTGATCGGTACCTCCGTTGAGAATCATCACGGTCTCGCCTTACCTCATGATCAGAGTGATCACTGTGAGGGCTTGCACGTCCATTATCCTGCATTTATACAATGGATAACAAATTATTACACCCAACAAAAATCTCACTGAAATTAAGTCAACTAATAGTACTTACAGGAGGGCCATTCTGACGTGAACGTGACCAGAAATTCTCCCTACCAGATTCACCAGACTGTTTTGGAGGACCACGAGATCCATCTCTATCTCTGGATCTAAATAATTTCCTTGCATTAGTCACATTACTAACAGCATACTAAAAGCTCTCGTCATTGGAATGCAAAAAATCCATCTCTTACCTATCATTACTTCTGTCTGAACGAGGAGCATCTGAACCACGTTCCCGGGCCAAACGCTCCTCTATTTCCCTTTCACGAGCAGCAGTGTCTACAGGTTTTGCGCCACCAAAAATAGAAGCTGGTGCTCCAGTTGGAGGCGGTGCTGCTGCAGCTGGTGCAGCTGCATCAGCAGCAGCCGCTGGGGCTGACACTTCTTCAACAGGCTTCGTTCTAGGCTGTAAATTCAGTCTAGGGCGAGCTCGTGGTTCACCTATAAAAGATAGAAAAGAAACTGTTGTATTTTCTTTTGATTTTTATTAAAGCAGCAATTGTAACAATACCTCACATAAACACATACCTCTATCAACAGGAGGTAAATCATCTCTGCCTTCAGAACGGAAGCCATCACGGCCAAAGTCCCTTCTTGGAGGACCAAATCCTCCATCTCTATCACGACCAAAGTCTCTATCTCTATCCCCAAATCGCCCCCTATCTCGATCCCCAAATCCTTCTCTATCACCAAAACCTCGACCTCGCTCCCGATCATCACGATCAGAAAACCAACTACCTCCTTTCTCCCGATCATCACGATCAGAAAACCAACTACCTCCTTTCTCCCGATCCCTATCCCCAAATCCTTCCCGACCACCTTCTCTAAATCCACCACCACCACCGCTACCACGATCTCTGTCAAATCCTTCTCTGAAACCACCAGATCCAAAATCTCGACGTGGAGCAGATCGATCAAATCCACCTGCAAACAATGATAATCATGTATACCAAAACAGTGTAATGTCACCACATAGAAATCTAGACTGTGAACCAAATTCAATTCATACCATCACGCTCTCTGGTCATGAAACCAGGATCACGATCTCTAGTCATAAAACCAGGATCACGATCTCTGGTCATGAAACCAGGATCACGATCTCTGGTTATGAAACCAGATCCAGATCCACGACCACGATCAGGCTCTCCAAGAGGTCCTTCCCTAGGACCAGCTCGCCAATCTCCAGCAGATCTTTCAGCATCATAATTAGCAGGTCGATCAGTACGCATACTATCACGACCACGTCGCCTATCATTCTCTGCTGCAACTTCGATGCGAATCCTACGACCTTTGATAGTCTAAAAAACAAAAATGTTCTAAACATTACTAACAATCTTTAATACAATAATGTACTGCAAATATTCTTGAAAAATAATGCATACAGTGTCGGGCAGGGAAAGGGCATCAATAAGAGATTGCCGTGTCTCAAATTCCACATAACCAAATCCACGAAGTCTTCCAGGGCGTTCATCTCGAGGTAACCGCACATTCACAATCTACAGAAAACATAATAAGTAAAACCCAAAACGCACAATAAGTTTTATTTTATACAACTCAAAGAATCACCTGAAGATCTTTAAAGAAATCTTCTATCTCATCTTCTTCCACTTCATATGGGAGGTTTGATATGTATGCCAAAAAGGGAGGAGATTTAGGAATTTTGTTTTCATCAAGATCCAAACCCCAAGTTGCACGTGGACCAGATGGTAAAACCACCTTTTCTTTGCGAGGATCTACAAATAAAAACACATATGGAACTATTACCAAATGTATCAAGTTATGCAATGCTGACATATTTTACTTCAACTGGTCGGTTACTTTCACAAAGCCACACCCAATTCAAGGTCATGCATATTCAGCAACATGCAAATTACTAACACATTCATGAAAGATTACAATATGTTAAGAAACAATAATTAAAATAAAATGAAACAAAGAACAGGAGAAAACAATAGAGAAAAAGTCAGGTAACGATATATACCATCATCCTCAGTTTCATCTGCCCAATTGGCTGACTTGCGAGGTACACCACTTCTGCTGTTTGGGGCAGCATAAGTAGCACTTTTCTGTTCAGTATCAGCTACAAAATCATTCCACGCCAAAGTCACTCCTTTCTTACTTTTCCCTTTCTTTCCTGAAAACATCATCACATGTCATAACAGGGACAACAAAATATTTACAAAAACTGATACTACACAAAGGATAATAAACAATATAATTTTACATCAATTGCAAATGGGAAGGCTTCAACTTAACCTGTAGCACGGTGATAGTAAGAATTTCCCCTACCCAATTACAAGGGGTGCCTTACTCAGATATACAAAGCAATCCTCTACAAGAGCGAATTCCTGAAGTAAAATTTGAGAGATACACTAATTTAACTAAATATAACATGTAACAATATGTGACCACGCGGTGAATCACGGGAGAAGCGCTCCAGGTGGGACCTCATTTACTGCTTACTTAGTCACCAGAAACTTGAGAGAAATGCGAAACTCAATTGTTACACAAAAGAACAACTATACTAACTAATAGTTATAAACTCTATTTCTCCAAATTTTCTCAAAACTCCAAAATTATATTCACGTGACTAACACCCAGTATACTAACCTGAAGAAGCCATCTTGAAGGATTTTATTCAGGGATGACAACAGTTAAAGAGAGGAATAGCAGTATTAGATTATGCACACAATGTTTCTCATAATCACTTCCCTTCCGTATTATGTTTTCACAACTACGGCACAATTGATTTTATTAGCTCCAACTTAAGTACTAAAGTACTTGACAAAAAATTATGTCGTTGTATAACGAGTGGTCACACAACAGGGGTATCACCAAACAGTTGGCTGCGAAGTCTCCACGCTGTCTGTCCCGGAAGTTTATGAAAATCAGAATGACGACGAGCGAACAATTGGTGATGTTCAGAAAGGCAATTGGGCAATTGATTTTCCGCATACTGTCAGATTAACGAAAAACAATTTCCCCTGTACTCAGAATGGTAATTAATGTACATTCGCCCATAGTGATATTGCAATGTTTGGACAATGGTGTTATCTTGGTAGAATTTTCATACCCAAGATATACGCGAACAAAATAAATTATGTGAAATCTTGTTTCAGAGTGATCTCGATTTGAACGAGCATCATGAAGAAATCATAATAAATTACATGAGATTTGCGAGATATCAGCGTTCCCAGAATTTAAAAGCGGTCGAATATTGTTTCAAAGATGTAAAGGATTCCAGGTATCAATAAATTTAATTAAGATATCTTCTAATTTGAAGAATGTGTAGTACATAAACATGTTATTTGTATTTGTTAAGAAGTGCACAAAACGGCAACTAGACAAACCTTCAATGATAATCACTTATAACAATAATTAAGTTGGGGAAGGATGGAAGTAGGGTTGGCAAGTTGGAATGTCAAAGAACAGATCATGGCAGTTGAAGGAAATGGTTGAAAATATAATACTCTTGAACGAAGAATGTGGTTAACGCAGTTTTTATGCCTTTCATTTAATATCTAATATTTTGGAAAAGGGTGATGTAAAGACACCTGTAAGATTAACAATATATTTCAAGTTTGCTACTTAATTAGGAATAAATTTCAGGCCAGTACTGGTTTCATCCAGTAGTAAATGATAATATTTTGCATACATTTAGAAATTTGAATCAACCTTTCTTCTTGTTTAATCAGCAATTATAACAATCTTCACAGTAGCTTCTCATAGCTGTCCTAGATAGCTCAATTGTCACTCATAGCAATCAAATTCAAGCCCAGTCTGAGTGTGGACATGTTTGTTTATTTCTAAGAATAGAGCACAATACACTGTTTTTAAATGGCAGAATGTCATTTTCATTTACACTTTTAAAAGAAAGAAAGAAAAAAAGGAGAAAGTGAGAGATGCGTTCTTTTAACTCTGGCACTCCCTTTAGTTATTAATTTTGAACTGATGTGATAGTAGGCTAATATTCTCATATTATAGTTACCATATTAAAAAAGTGTGTGCTGCTTAGCGCTACTAGTTGGGAATCAACTCTTTAATTTAATTTCTAGGCAACATTTCTCTTGTTGGTCCATGCACCCATTATGGTGTAGAATATTCACTATTGTGTGTAGGGTGACAATAATAGGAGAACAACTCAATAAATTTGTTCAGAAAATCTGAATTTTTGATACATTAATTGTTCAGAGAGGATTTTTGTTTTGACATTTATGTTCATCTCATACTTTTTGCAGCTTTACGAATCTGTAAAGGATGCTTTCAATGTTATCTGCATTCTCTGTCACGAAGATAATATAATTTGTATATCTCACAAAGTCACTGTTAGAACTTCAAAAATTTTGTGGAAATTCATTTCCTACTTCTCAATTGTCTACTACTGTTGCAACCAAATAGCGTTAAACATGATGTAATTGTTATACATTTGTTTTGACAGTTCAATTAATTGAGTGCAACTGGGTATATGTTTACTGATACTCGGTGCTAGAGCAACTAGGTGTATACTGGGAGATTGGGTTCAACTAGTTGGGGCAGTCCATTCATTTTTTTAAATAGGAAAACATTATTTATTAATATTTTTGTTATAAGTTCAAGTGAGAGAATGCTTTTTTTTTATAGTGAATTTATTTTTTGTTACAGGCTTTTAGAAGATACTTATACTAGTGAAGAAGTAAATGATATTTTGAATGGTCTGTGCAAAGTTGTCCAAACCGACATTGAAACAGACTTGATCAATACATGCCATAGTAATGTACTTTTGCTTAAACAATTGTTTAAACAAGCAGAAAAATGGCATCTTCGTCTTCAGGCAGATCTCTCTCAATTGGAAAACAAGTTTGTATTTCTAATGAAATAATGTATATTGATTGATACTTACAGATTATCAGAGCATTTAATAATAAAATTTAGAAAGAAGGAAGAATTTTTTTCATCATAATTTATTATTTGAATCATTAACTACTTAATAGAAGAGCTTGAGTATATTTGTTTGTCAAAGACTCATACATTAGTTTAAAACCCAAAAAAGTTTGTTAACAAAAGGTAGTTCAAAATGAGGCCACTAGAGAGCAGTTAATATATAATTTTAATAAACATAGTATAGAAATATAATATGATGGGCATCCAGAAAGTAAGTTTTCCTAAGTCTTCAACTAAAAAAAAACACAATTTAATAGAAAAACTGTCATAGAAGATAACAGCATATGTTGCACTATTTTACCACATAATCACTGCCAGAGTTGAGACATTTGTCTTACTACAGGATAAACATTTGGATCCCTATGTTGTACATTTCTGCTGCTTGGGATAGACACCAGTGTTTAACAGCTACTACCACTTACTCTGCTAAACCACACGTGTGTTCATGATATACCCTGAACTCAGAAAGGCATGTAAAACACAAAGCCTAAGAACTTCCACTCTGCCTATGGTGGCATCACTGAAGAACGAGCCCTTGAACCAAAGACTTGACACAATACAAGTTGTTCAGAACAACGAAAATTCCTAACACTTCCCCTCAAGGTTCACATTGCTCTAGACCAGCGTGTCTCATGCAAAGTTCATGCTTGACCTTACTTAAACACTTTATCATGAAATCAGCTACCTGTTTGTTTTAGTCAATACACGTTTTAACATAAATGTTTTTTCTCTCTAACATATCACAAACAAAATGATGCTGTAAATCGATATGCTTAATTCTGCTGTAGTACATAGAAGTTTTGGCTAAATTGATTGCACTTTGATTGTCACAGAAAATAGCTAAACTAGTCTACTCTTCAAAATGCAACTCTTGTAGGAATTTCTGTAGATATTCTGCTTCTCTGGCCCAGACTGACAAGGCCATATACTTGGCCTCAGTTGTACTCAAGGCTACTGTCCTTTGCTTGCGAGATTCCCAAGTATGGAGCATTCACCTAGCAAGGACATATAGCTTTTGCATCTGACTGCCTCGCCAGTCTGCATCGACGAACCCAACAACCAATTCGGCGTTATCTTTGGAAACAACTCCAACATCAATCATGCCCTTCAAGAGGTGTAGAACTTGCTTTGCTGCCTTCCAATGCTCATGCTCATAGAAAGTATTGAACTGCCCTAGATGAGATGCTGCAAAAGATACATGTGGGGTAGTTGCCAAGAACCAGGTGCACCCACCAGTTCACGATATGGTAAGCACAACTCTTCTTTGCTTGGGTTCTCGTTCTTGGTCAACTTTCTACCAGGATCCAAAGGAGTGACTACGGGATTGCAGTTACATATACCAAAACATTGAAGAAGTTCTTCCACGTATCCCCACTGGTAAATGGGAAATATGCCATCTTGAATAAGATTGATTCCCAGGAAATATTTCGCTGGTCCCCAGTCTTTGACTTGAAAATGATTGCCTAAGACATTTCGAAGTTCAGATATTGTCTTCTGATTCCTGGAGGCGACCAAGATGTCATCAAAGTACACAGCTATCAAGGTCACATCTTCCCCTGAAGCCATCTAGAAGAGTCAAAGATCGGATGCTGTCGGCTTAGCACCGATGTCCTTCAAGGTCTCACTGAACTTCATGTACCTGCTCTTTCCTGCATATGTCAAGCCTTACAATGACTTCTTAAGTAAACAGACTTTTTCGCCCACCTGAAGTTCACTGAGCTTGTCTTCTGCCTTCAAGATGTCGTGAGATTGGAGTGTTTTCACACGCTTGCCTTTCTGATTCTCCATTTGGATTATATAATCCTCTGTTACCTGGAATACCTCCGCATTTGATTTGAGATACTTTACCTCACACCAGTGAGAGTGTCGTCTATAAATTCTACGTATTATCTTGCACCGGACAGTGACGGAATTGGCATCGGCCCACATGTCCGTGTGAATGAGATCTAAGAGCGCCGTCTCACATTCTGACTTCTTTCGGAACTGCAACCTGGACATCTTCCCCTTCAAGCAGATATCACAATTTATTTTATTCACAGGGTTCTTGACTTGAACATCTGTGATTCTCTGATTTTTCACAGCCTCCAAGAAATCAAGGATATTAGCGTGATCGAGTCGCCGATCCAGCAGATCTAAATCAAGCGACTGGGACGATGAAGCTATACCAGCACTCTCTTCATGCTCCCGTATAAAATACAAGTTGCCCATCCTGTCAGCATACAACACGATCTCGCTGACCGCGTCCAGCACCGGTGCACCTTTCTTGATGAAGATTACCTCGAGGTCACGATCTGTCATTTTTAACACTCAGCAAATTCGTCCTGAGATCCGGAACACGCGATGCGATCGAGGGCAATATCTTGTTCTCGTCTCCAGATACTAGAGTTGAAAATTGCACGGCGTTTTTTCCTATGAGCCTCGTAGAAGTGTCATTTGCCAAACTCAAAGATTGCGTCCTTAACTTATCAGTTTCGATACAATTGTCTGAATCTTTAACAACGTATCCTTGCGTGCCGGACCTT